CTGAAGCATTGAACAAGGTTTCTCTGGGACTCCAGCATTTTCTACATCTGAAACACAATTTAAAGCATGGTGAAAACGGGGGGCCGGGCACAACAGAGTTATATTCTAAAAGGCTGGGGACCGCATCCAATCCAGGCAGATGCTGAGGCCGACACTCTTCGTGACCTCCATGTTTGTTTCCAGCCAGAGATGGGCACGAACTGCCAGTTTGGCGGTTCATCCCGGTTCGTTTATCGCCACAACTGGTGTATGGTGGTTCAGAGTCCTGCCCCCTCCAGCATGCACCCACTCAGAAGCAATGTCCTGGCTTCCTTGACCCGCCTCCTCTGGGCACTGCTTCGGAGTGGACGCCCACTGGAGGGGGCAGGGCATGGAACTACTGGAATACCTGTTGCAACAGTGAATGAACCAGCTCAAACCCCCGAACCGGCGGTTCGTGCCCATCTCTATTTTTCCAGCCCATTTCAAGGTGTTTGTGTGCACCTTTAAAGCTTTTTTCAGCTTGGACTGAGATACATCAGGTGGTGACTTCCCCTTATTTGTTCTCCCATTCAAGGTCACCTCCAGACACGGGGCTGCCTGAGGCAACATAATAGACGGTGCCGCCATCCAAATTCAGACAAGTTCTTTTGATGCGTGAAGCAAAACCTCCCATAAACACCTCTCTCCGTCCCATGAACCGACATACTTACCGTTTCTCCGGGCATCCCTGGAAACCCGACAATGCCGGCCGCACCCTTCGGTCCTGGTGATCCAGGAGGACCAAAGCTTCCCGGGAGACCTTGGCCTCCGGGGGCCCCTTTCTCTCTGCTCGGCAAACCGGCTATTCCTGGGAAGCCAGGCTGCCCGCGGGGCCCAGGGAGCCCCTTGTCCCCTAAGAAAACAAAGGAGCAAACAATGGGCAAGGGAGAGCACACGCTGCCACAACAGGACAAATGACCAGTTCCACTCTAGATGGAAATAGCCAGTTCTGAGTGAGGGGAACGAAACAATTAGAACAAAGCTCTGAGCGAGGAAGGATCGTGGAGGTGTATGAAACTAAGCAAGGTGTAAAGAAAGCTGGCGGAGAGATGCTTTGTTTCTTTTTTCATAATTCTTCTAAAAGGGAAGGATGAGAGGTCCTGGGCGGATAAAAGGAAAGGCTTCTTCACACAAAGGAACAGTTACACGGTGGAACTCATCGCCACAAGATGTAGTGATCACTGCCTGCTTGGAAGGTTTCAGGAGTGAATAAATTCACACAAGGTAGGGTCGTCGGCAATTAAGTACGGCTAGGCATCACTTCTAGTATCAGGGAAGAGTATGTTTGTACATTAGTTGCCCAGGGAAATGAGACGGTGGATGCCATTGTATTCCTTATCCTGATCAGCCATGGCTCTCCTTATGTTCTGATGGCCATCTTGTAAAAAGGAGGCGAGCCAATTCACCCTCCTTTCTTTCGATATTTGTTCCCCCAGCAGGAAAAGGCCGTTAATGAGTGAATGAGTACTGAAGGACAAACGTGGAACATGGACATCAAGGTCTGAATGGAAAAGAGTACCTCTTGGCCCCGGAAACCCTCCAAGTCCAGAGGTGCCGGGCTCTCCTTTTTCTCCTTTAAAGGTGAGGGCGCTTTCTAGCCTAAGAGCAGGAGGTCCTGGAGGGCCAGGGTTGCCTCTATCTCCTGAAAAAGGAACAAGAAAAACAGGATACAGAGCAGGAAATGGAGCCCAAAACCAACCGGCTGAACTCAAGGTACAGTACACAAAATCCAAAGCCAGCCACAATTTGTACCGTGAAGCCAAATACCTAATCACACAAGCTCACTCCGTATTCATCGAGGACAGTGAATGTACAATAATAAAAGTTTAAATAATTAAGAATTCCCAAAGACAGGGGGGAAACTCTTTGGTTTAGAACAAAACATTATGGTTGAGCCCAAACTAACCCCGTTCCCCCAGGAAAAAACTCTGAGATCAACTCCTCTTACTCAAAATATGCACACAAACACACACCCTTCTTCCTTATATTCCGCTCCATGTAAACAATACAATCTAACTTTATTAGGCTCCTCTACATCCTGTACAATGTATTGTTAGTGCGGTATGGTAGAGCTGGAATACAACGCAGGCTTTTATAGTGTCCACCTCTACACACAACAGATTTACACTCACGGTTACATGATCTTCCAGATAAATCTTTACTATTCCAGTCAAATTTCCTCCACTCGGCACTTGAGAAAAGAAGCCTCAATGTCTTTCATTAGGTAAGCAGTGATGCTTCCCCCCTTCCCCTTTCGGGAATTTAGGGCCGGAGCTCCCCTTTTCAGGTTTACTTGGAGTGGAAGTTAAGGTAAAAAAAAAGAGGATGTGCCAATGTGGCTGTTTTGAATCAGAGGAGCTGATCTGGGGCCTGCACTTTTCTACTTGTTGAGTTATATCTTCAACTGTGACTTTTGGCTTTAAATCAAAGGTTTTTCCTTCTTGTGAATTCCTCTGTTGGGGGGACGCTCTCTTACTGAAGAATTCAAGATATGAGATCCTTTTTCCAATGCCACTGGATACGTCATACAGCAAACACTCTTCAGCCACATTAAACTCAGAAGGGAGCAAGGACAGAATCACAGCATCCTAGGAAAACCATCGGCTCCTGCTGTCCCCCATCCAACCCTGTGTTTCAGGGCTTACCTTTCAATCCAAGGAGTCCAGGAAAGCCCATACTTCCTTCTTTTCCTTGCGTTCCAGGAATTCCTTTTGATCCACTGACCCCAGGGCTTCCAGGTTGGCCTGGCATTCCGGGGAAGCCAACCACACCTACGGAGCCCTTCTCCCCTAGATTCAAGAAGCAAAAACAAGACAGTCTGGTTGAATACCGGGGGGGGGGGAATCCTAACTGTTAGAGCAGCGAGAAGCAAAACAAGAGAGTCTGGTGGAATACCGGGGGGGGGATCTTAACTGTTAGAGCAGCACAACAACGGAACCGATCGCCTTGGAAGGTGGTGAGCGCTCCAACGGTGGAGGGACTCAAGAGTAAATTGGACCACCCTCTGTCAGATGTGCTTTGACGTGTACACCTGCCTTGATCAGGGGGTTCAAGGCAGGAAGGGTTGGAGCAAAGCGCCTATTGCTAGATCCTAGTTATAGTCCTTCCTGAAACATGGAGGCCAGTTGGTTACCTTTGGCTCCAGGGAACCCTGGAATTCCATCTGGGCCCAGAAGACCAGGTTGTCCGGGCAAACCTCCTTCTCCAAGCCGTCCTGGAGGACCATCAAGTCCAGGGAAACCTTTCATGCCAGCTGGGCCCATTGGACCGGCATCTCCTCTTATGCCCTTTTCTCCAGGAACCCCTGAATTGAAACAAACGCGGACTCTTAAAATAGCCCGGACTGTGGCTTTCTCCTCTCTTAGGGCCATAATCTAAGCCGATTGACTCAGCTTTTGCATATGGGAGAGGAACCTCAAAAGTCAATCAAACAATCATGCAGCCTTTCTAAGATGCACAGGGTTTAGAATGGCAAAAAGGGGGGTGGGGAGAAGGAGGATGAGGATGAAAGGATTAGTCATCTAACCATTAAGAGATCTAGGAAAGTTACTGGCCTACACCACTACACAACTGCAAAGCGTGAAACCCCTTATAGTCAGCATAATTTAGGATGTGTCCCGAGCTACGTTTCAGGAAATATGTGGGTTGCCCTTGTAAATAAGCATGCCAGGTGCTGAGATACAAAACATCTGGAACGTTAACATTTCACTCACTACCACCACCAACGAACCTCATTAGACAAAACAAAATAACCCCACTGCCCATTGAGATAAGAAAACTTTCTCCATCGTCACTGGTATAGTTCAACAGGTCAGACTTCCTCATACTTAAGAGTAGACACAATGGAATCAATGGGTTAAATCCAACACAGTGCTCACGGTAGCAATAGGGTGTCTCGGATCTCTTCTCCCTCAGACCATCCTGCTTCAGATTATTTCCTCCCGCTCTGGAGCACTTTTTCAAGGTGTTTAGAAAAATCCACAGGTTCGGTGGTTCATTCCTCTCTCTCTAATCATAACGCTTTTCAAGATTCTGATTGCAGTACTTAACAAGTCACAACCGAGGGCTCGGTCACACTGCCTATTTGAAAGGATTCCTGTTCTGATTTTTTAATGTCAGTATTAAATTACATGGTATATAACTTGGTAGCTATGTTCACTTTTGCCTGAAATTAATTCGACTTATTTGTAGTAATTAAAACTGCTACTTGGGGCTATACAGATGAAATAAACTAATTTCCTTTCTTTTTAAACAACACTCTATTATACACTTTGGGACTTGATTTTTTAAAAAATAGGTCGATGGCTGCATTCATCTGAGAAGTTATTCTAAATATGAGAGCACAATTGAAAATAATGGGGAAATTAGTTTTCATCACCAGAAAGGAGCAAACTGGGAGGACTGTTGTAATATAGAACATACTGATGAAGTGATGCAGCAATAAACTCTTGACAATGCAAAAAACCCCAAACATTTGCACTCATAGTGCACCAAGTGATACATCGCTAAACATTTTAAAAAGGAATTTTAAAAGACTTTTTTTAAAAAATGGAGTAGCAAATCTGCCGTGCCAACGACACTCAGTATCAACAAAGGCACAAAGTAAATAGACAGCAGCGTTCACAACTGCCATCCCGAACCGAAATAAATCAATTTACAAGTGAGGTATCTTAAAAAGCCCCAGCCGGCCAGTTCAAGAAAACTCGCTTTGCAGTCCAAATACAAATCAATTCCGGCCATGTGTCGTGTGTGCGGGAATTTTTAAAATCGATTTAAATAACACTTAAATTGATTTCACTGTGGTTCTTATTGCCAGTGGGTCTGCACTCTGATTCTACATAGATGTATCAAGGATGAAATAGTGACCGTAGCCAAACAGACGCCCATGTCCCAATGACAGAAGCCCTCTGCCTGGCTGCATTAATTATGCCAGCTCAATTCTTTGTGTAATTAAAAATAAGGGTTTTCACCTATAGCCAAATGCAAGCTTTGCAACATTAAGAACTAGGTAGCTGTTAGTCCAGGAGCTTTTACGTCGGAATGCCTTCTCACCTTGACAGCCTATGTGAAGAACCCCAAAACCATTTACAGTGTGACATCGGAAACGGAGAGATTGGTGGAAAGGCGGAACAGAAATGCGGTGAGGGGAAAAAAACAGACAGACACAGAGGAAGAGGGAGAGAAGCACAAGGTGGTGAACCAAAGGAATGACTTGGAATATGGTGGAGCTTACCTGTCGGCCTTCGCGGTCAAAACTCACTCACTTACGTGTGTGTGTGGAGTACTTGGCGGGAAACCTTTCCAGCTACGAAGAGCCTTTAGCTCACTTTAGGAGGAAAGGATAAAGCAACCCCTCATCCCCAGCACTGTTACTCCCCCAATTGCCCAATATTTTGAAAATGAAAAACAAGAAAAAGCTTGGGAAAGCCTTGGGGGCCAATTTTGCCCCTTTTTAAAGAATCTTTACCCAATTTTGATTTCTTAATTGGCAACTAGAAGGCAGAAGGGCGCTTGTGTAGTTAAAACACTTGTTTTGCATACACTTAAATGTTGTAGACATTTCTGAAATTAAAAGCATGAATATGGGTCATGAAAGTTAGTGATGAATTGTGATGATCATGAATCCTCCCCCCCTTTTTTTACTTATACAAGAGGCATGCTTCATCCTACATTACACACAACAAAGCTTTCCTTTTTTTGTTGAGTTATTCCGCACACACTTGTGATCAGTGATCAAACTGAGTTCCCAGCTTGCTGCGGCTTTGAGATCTACTAATGTAAACATCTGGATTAATGTTCTCCCATCAGATCATGATAACTTATTATAATGCATCCCAACCTTGGGCCTCCAGATGTTTCTTGAACCACAGCTCCCAGAAATCCTGGCCAGCACGGCTAGCAGCGAAGGCGTCTGGGAGTTCTAGCCCAAGAACATCTGGGGATCCAAAGTAGGGAACCACTGTCCTACATTGAAGATCCTTGAGATCAGTGGTTCCCAACGTTGGGTCTCCAGATGTTCTTGGACTGCACTTCCCAGAAATCCTGGCCAGCACAGCTAGCGGCGAAGGCTTCTGGGAGTTGTAGTCCAAGAACATCTTGAGGACTCAAGGTTGGGAACCATTGACTTATCACATGTCCCCTAGAAGCTCCTCATGGCGCTGAGAGTCCCACCACATCCAGGCTCAACACCACGAAGCTATTCAAGTAGACTGGTTCCGTCCCTAAACAGACGAGAGGGAGAGCAGACCTCTTTCTTCTGATTTGAGACACCACGTACCTGGAGGTCCTGGGAAGCCGGCTATTCCCGCTGGGCCAGGTCTTCCTTTGATGCCGACTGGGCCTACGGGCCCTGAAGGGCCTGGTAGCCCAGGAAGGCCTGGAGGCCCCGGGTCCCCACGTCCTCCTTTGATCCCAAACAGTCCCGGCCTTCCATCCGAACCTGAAAACAGAGAAAAGAAGGGACTTGTGGATTCTGTGGCTCTCACCTACTTCCTCTGCTAAGAAAAATACAAGCCACCCACAAACTCCTGCACTAAATCTGGAGTTACCATTTAATTCATAAATAGGGACTGGATTGGCCCTTTTAGCCAAGTGAGCAAACCCACAATTTCCCCCTTTTCTGCGGCTGTTCAAGTACCGCAACGGCTAAGCACGCATTTGATACTGTCCTTCAAAAAAGATTATGATAAGAACACTTTTCATCTCTCTCTCTCTCTCTCTCTCTCACTCACACACACACACACAAGTTTCAATGTTACAAGCTGCCACATTTTTATCATACAGCCAAAACTTCTTTTACTTTCTTTCTTTATAGTTTAAACTTATTTAGTACTTTGCATACATACCGCTGGATGCTTGTTTTTTGCATAAGTTCCAACAAGAACATAATGTACATTTGCATTCATAGCTTCTTCATCAAAACAGACACCTCAGCTCTTAGTCACAGTACAGTACAGCTCTTAACTATGGAATTAATCGTTATAATTCCAATTGTATTTTTAAAATAATTTTATACATGTTATATTGATGTGTTTTTATCTATGTAAGCCATCCCGAGTAGACATTGTCTAGAGGGGTGGAGCAAAAATCTAATAAACAAACAAACAAACAAACAAACAAACAAACAAACAAACAAACAAACAAATATCTACTTCTCAGTTCCCACTCTTTCCCCTAATCTCCCTTTGACTTCAGTATTACAGCAGTAAATCTCAACTTTCATCCTGCCCCCCCACCCCATCTATAAAATAGCATCCATACAGCCAGAAATAACCTCAACCAATCGGCCTTCTCACCTCCCACTCTTTCCCCTAACCTCCCTTTGACTTCAGTATTACATCAGTAAATCGCAACTTTCATCCTGGCCCCCCCACACCCCATCTATAAAATAGCATCCCTACAGCCAGAAATAACCTCAACCAATCGGCTCTCCGTTCCATACACAAGCATCCTAACCCGCCCCTCGAATATCTGAACTGTCTCGCCTGGCATACATCCAGCCTGCGACTGTCAGTCAAACCCAGCCCCTTGTCATCCACACCAATAGGACTCTGTATACAAACAGATTCAAAATACAGAATCACCGCAATCAATGTCTCTTCCCCTCCACCTGTTGTTTCAGTTCAATGGGAGGACAGACAAAAGCCTCAAAGTTTGTTAAATGCAGACTGAGTAAAGGTGTAAAGGGGGAAAAATACACAAGAAGGGAGTAGATGGAGCAGTGGGAGAAGGGGAAAGTTTCCCTCGTTCCCCCCAGGTTTTTTCGCTGGCCTCTCATTAATTGTATCTGTGCTTCTTTCCATCGTGGAATACCAACACAGAGAGGGGTTGCAGTGGGTTCCCCAAAAAAGCACGAAGCAGCTTGGCGTCATCAAGTTATCTGTCTCCTATTTCTTCAAACTAGAAAGCAGTACCAAAAGAACCCACCTTTCGGTCCTGGGAGGCCGGGGTCTCCCGGTAGCCCCTTATTGCCCGGCAGTCCAGGTCGTCCGGGTTCTCCTGGAGCTCCACTTTCAGCCCCAAAGACTTCGCCAGGTGGTCCTTTGGCTCCGGGCAGACCAGGAGGGCCTGGTTGGCCACGTAAGCCGTCGATCCCATCTGGTCCTGGAAATCCTTTCGGCCCCTGATCTCCACGAATACCAGGAAACCCTGAAACAGCAAGGACGACATCGACATTATAATCAACGTAATGCTGCAGTCTCCATATGAATCTTTGTCTCAGGCAAAACACACATTTCAAGAAATCCGTTGGCAGAAGGAGTGCTCCCTCAACGGCCAAAAAGATGTCACTGTGAAAGCAAATTAAAAGGAGATGTGTCACCAAGAATATCTTTTGAATGTAAATAATGGCTTCCTTTGCATGTCTAATTCTCGAATAGCATCTAACACAGTAGGAGACATTTCTCAGGCGTTATAAGAACGAGTACGATGCTTTTCTCTGAACATCTGCTTTGGCATTTTCTTGCCTTCTTTTGCACATGTACGCACAGTACTCATGTGTTTCTGTTTATAGGTCCCATGGCAGCGGGAATGGTCCCCGGCTTTTACCTGGCATTCCCAGATCCCCAATGAATCCTTGATCCCCTGGCTGTCCCTTTTGGCCCATGAATCCTGGCGGACCTGGAATGCCTGGAAGTCCTTTTCTGCCCTTTGCGCCTGAAAAAGAAATACATTGGAAATTCACAGTTTGTCATGAATCTTGTTCGATTCCCCCACGGGGCCTCCTGGACCGGGGCTGGACTGGATGACCCATGGGATCCCTTCCAGCTTCTGCCATTCTAAAAGGAGGATGGTCCTCACCATTCAAGGACCAACGCAAGCAAAACAAGAGATGAAAGGCCAGAAAGACTAACAATAAAACCTAGAGGTGTAAATATTTTCTCCAGATGGGTAGCTGCATCCACGGATACAATTAGATATAAGGTTAAAAAAAAGTTTTGAGTTGAATTGGCTATAACCTTCTCATGCATCAATCCGGAGCTGATTTTTGAATCGCATCCTAAATACAGTTTGTGCCAACCAAATTAAAACCTCTCTCTTTCGCCAGATAATTAAAAAATTGTTTTTTTAAAAAATATATTTTGAATTTCAATTTTTTTAAAAAAATATTGATGCCAAGACTAAGAGGCAAATTCAGCCCCCAGGCCGAACTAGATTTGATCCACGGAGTCAGCAGTGGAAAGGAGTTCAACCCTAACAGAAATCCCATCAATTGAATGGGCCTACATGGAGTGGGAGGATCAGCTGAACGGAAGGGCAGCCATCTTGTGTGTATACGTCCTGCAGTCCACCAGGGATAGGGGCTCAAGGAGCAGGACTTGTTGTGAAAGCAGACTTCAGTTGCACCGGCAACTCGACTCAGACTTGACTCAGGGTTGGTTGGTTTCTAAACTGGCTCAGATTCGACTTACGACTCGGAACCACACACCTCTCCCTTCCCCCCCCCCCGGAAAAAAGCACTTGGGCTATGTTCTTGGGACTCGAGACTCGGTACCCAAGACTCGAACTCGGGTTCGGAAGCCGGACCCAAAGACTCGCCAGCATCCCTGCAGTCTACTTCTCCATCCCCGATGCCGTGACCCACAGACAGCCATACCAAAAAAAAAAGGGGTCAATCTGGAAGATCCCGTAAGGATGTGAGGTTTGGCCTCCAGCAGACGTCCGCGCTTTCCCTCCTTTTCACCGTTTATTGTTGTAGTTTCAACAACCAAATGTTTATTGCTCTACCCCTCGTCATTGTCTCTTTTATATCTGCTATTTAAAAATAATCAAGTCCAATCCCTAGAATGCCTGTGGTTTCTTAATTTCAAAACCAACCAACTCACCCTTGTGTGATCTCCGCATCTTTAAACCACACAATTATTTCTGAGGTCACATCAAATTTTGGACTCTTGTCTACAATTTCTCCCCCCCCCCATCCATGAAGGGGTTGTGCTAGGCCTGAAGAAGTGGGTTTTTTGATCAACAAAAGCTTGCCCTTTGTATGATTTCTTAGTGGTCCAATAAAAGGACCAGCTACCATGACATTTGGGCAATTCTGGAGACCGCATGGCTTTTTTCTTTGTGGACCCTGATCTCTGTCCTGCCTCCAAAGTTCAGCTCTCAGAAACACTTTTGCAGAACTAAACGTTAACAGAAAGATAAACCTATTCCTGCCACTTCCAGCCAACCTCTCTGTGGCACAGCTGGTCTTGGAGGCATCATGATCTACAGATGTAGATAAAAAATAAATAAACCTGCTTTTAGGGGGGGGGGAAAGATTCTGCCCAGATGGCCACTAGTAAGAGATACAGATCACAGGTATATATTGTAAACTTTACACAGCCTGATAGCTGGCTGGATAGCTCAATGGTTTACGCCTATGGCTGTGGAGCTAGAGGCTGAGAGTTCGATCCCCCCTCTGTGCCTCCTAAGAGAAAGAGCCATCCTGGGTAGCCTTGGGCCAGCTGCATGTCCCAAGGTTGCCCCTAGAGGAAGGGAAGGGTAATGCACTTCTGAGTACTCTCTACCTGGAAAACCCTGATAAAGATCTACCGTAAGTCGGAACTGAATTGAAGGGACATGATTATTATGAATGCTTCATACCTGGGAATCCTGGAGAGCCAGGAAATCCCGGTGGTCCAAATGCACCAGGAATCACACAGGGCAAAGTTATACCTGCAGAGAGAGAGAGAAAAAAATGTATTGAAATGTCACATGGCCCCTTATGGCCAGATCTAGGAAGAGTATTTATCCAAAATATTTATCCTCATAACCAGAGACAGGAAGTGTTAATATTTGGGATTACAGCATCTAAAATGTCTCAACCAGCATAGCTGGTGAGATTTATGGTCCAAGATGATTAACATTTCCCGTCTCCGAGAGGCAAGTCCTGCTGAGCCATCCCATGGGGGTGAGTTTCCTTTCAGGCACTTGCCTGTGAGTCCCTGAAACTTTTTTGGATACCATTGAAAGTCGGTTCACTGGTGGAAACTCATCCTTGGCTATTAAGCTGAGTCATGGTTTCTTAATATTCACCATCTCCACCCAGGGTCAAGGAAATGGAGACCCGCGAAAATTTCCGAACGTTCTGGAGGATAATATTTCTGCACTCTTCTGCTTCTTTTGAATCCTGACCTAATCCTTAGGCATAATTAAGGATGGCACTTGTGTAGGTGCATGCACGCTCGTGAGCATGGACAAATGGCGGGGTGGCACTTGTGCAGGTGCGCGCTCATTCGCATGCACAAACGGCTGCATGGCACTTGCACGGGCATGCTGGAGCATGCTTATGCGTGAATCAGCTGTGCAGGGATGAATGCGTGCGGAGGGTGGGAGGTCTGTCTCCGCAGCGCACTTTGTCTCAGGCCACGGATGGGCACCGGGCCATGGACCGGGGGTTGGGGACCTCTGATTTAACCGACTACAGTCTATAGCCCATATTAAGTTCACACAAGACCGGCGTTTCTCTGCCCCCCACCTCCCCTCCCCGCTTTGGTCTTCTACATGACCAGGCCTCAGCCAAACACTCAATTCAATATGATTAGAATAAATCAAACATTTTTCTAGAGAAGTTATGCAGAAATCTAAATAGGTTCAGTAACTTATTCTGGTGTTTCGTCTCTGGCCAAACTGGGACTGGATGAAATGGGGAGGTGAGCCATCCTTACGCAATGGTGCCATTTTTATTGCTGTGATTGTTCCAAAGCCACTCGGTCAGTTGGATAGGCAGTAAGCAAAGAGACGGAAGTGCGCAGCCACAAGGAGGCAGAGGTTTAGCGCTGGAGCACAACGTTTGGGGGTGGGAGGGCGAGGGTAAAGCACACAGAAAGCAAGCTTCCCATTGGCTGTCTTTTGCTCCGCCTTCTACGAGCACCCGATACGACTCCCCTCCCCTCCTGCCGTGTCACACAACGTGCTTCTCCCTTGTGCATCTCGTGTCCTACCGGGAAGGAAACGGATCCTGCCCAACCCCACAAGGGTGACAACCGCCCAGCCTCGCTCTCACCTCCCTCCGGGTCTAAGATGCCATTAACAACCTCCTCACCGCAGCAGCAGTCACCTAGAGCGGTTAAGCAAAGGAGCACAAGTTAAAACAGAGGCGGGGGGGGGGGAAGAGACAATAAAAGGACAACCCACAAGATTGGCCATTGGCTCACTCTGAACCACGAACCTCCTATATTCAAAGGCACCAAATAGGTTGCACGAATGGAAGGCAGTCAATTCAATGGGACTAGAGATGGGCACGAACCAGCGATTCGTCAGTTTGTGCTGATTCGTCCTTTGGACGAACCGGTGTTTGGTGCTTCCTAGCTCTGCCTTCCTCCAGCAGGTGGCGCCTGGAGGAGGTGGGGCAGGGAATCCAGGTTGCTGCCTCTGAGCGGGAGGGGGGCGTCACTGAAGGTTGTGGGTTTGGGGAACACAAAACACCCATTTGTCTGAAAGTCGAACTGCCACGAACTGCCGAACTGGTCGTTCGTACCGATCTCTGAACCGGATATTCATCTAGTCCTTAAGTCCACTTAATTCATATGGGCCTTCTCGCTTTTAGAAACATTAATTGAGGGGAAAGTCAGATATCCAAAATGTGTTGTGCCTGTGAATATAGGTAAAGTATATTTTCAAACACGGCGAGACAAAAGACACCTCTCTGTTTATAAAATGACATTTAGTACGCACAGGTCCTATTAAGCAAAAGAAGCAACAGGAAAGAAAGCAACACAAAGCCGTTGTTAGCCTACTTTTCCAAAAGCTGGCATTGGCAGAACTTAAGAAGAAGGAAAAGGCATTTACGGCATTGCTGAAAACTAGTTCAAAGGACAACATAGGGCATTCTGGGAGCGGTAGTTTTTTTTTTAAAAAAGGAAGGTTTTCCCCAAGCTTTGGAAAGAAATTGACAAATCGGTTTCCTTCCCCAATGGAGTTTAATGGTACACTCCAGGATTTCTGGGCTGAAGACAAGACACTCACTGTCAGCAAGGGAACCCTAGTGATGACCATGGGTTCAGCATTACTGAGATGAAGGATCAGTTCACTCCACCTTCCTTCTACCTGCAGGCAATGGTGACATCCAATGGGCTTCTCTTTCATGAGCCCCAATCCTTGACTACCTCCCAAGGGCAGGCAGGAGGAGAAGCAGCAACAGTGGCTTCCATTCCTTGTCACGGTGTCTCTAACCATCATCAGCGAAGCCATTCATGGCGGCTGCCATGTTTGGTACACGAATGCCATCTTGGTGAGTGGCAGATGGACCACAGGAGCTCGTAATATTTTATAAACCCGTGTGATCCAGTGATGTTGGTTAATGTGTGGCCAATTCCAAAGAAGAACAGCCCCCTTCAAGCCCATACCTGGAGGACCTGGGAGGCCAGGTTGCCCCGGCATCCCGTCGATTCCGGGGTCACCCGAAGGCCCGCTAAGCCCAACTGCGCCTGGAAAACCAACGCCGGGAAGACCAACCTCGCCACGCCGGCCCTTCATACCAGGTAATCCTGGCAAACCTTTGTCGCCTGGGAAGCCGAGGCCACCATCACCCTAAGAGACACAACACAAATCAAGAAGTGAACAAAGGAAAGAAAGGATCTGCGTCCCCACTTCAGTGAAGACGAGACAGATCAACGGGGTTTGGACAAACTTACGGGAAGCCCAGGTCGACCCGGAAAACCTGGGACGCCGTCCCGACCTGGAATTCCGGGAAAGCCAGAAGAACCTCGAAGGCCAACGTCACCCGGATCTCCTCGGAGGGCTCTGCCGGCGGCTAAAAATGGTTCTCCTTTTACTCCCTTCAGGCCTGGAAGACCAGCTGGGCCAACGAAACCCTTGGGTTACAAGGAAGCAAAAACAGGTTTATTTAAGTCCAGGGCTGTATCCACCTTGTGCCGATAGAAACGTTGGGATCCGAGGTTGAGAACCACTGGTCTAGAGCATTAATAGTATGGTTTGCTGGGATTTCTCTCACCCTGGAAGGATCTTGGCCAACAAACATGGACACCTTTCCTTTCCATTTAAGCTCCACAACAACACTGTGAGGGGGCAGATCAAGCCGAGAGACAATGACAGCCACCTGATTTTCAGCGAGAAATCCCGTTGGATTCAGGGCCCCTGGGAAATCTGAGTTTCTGTTTCTCCATCCTATTAATTGCCCCACACCGGTTTTATAATCAATGTCTGATTCCCTGAATTATTCATTGACTGCCAGAGGGTTTCCCAGAACGGCCAACATCCTTTCTTCCTACCTTCATTTCCGTTTTTGCACCCCTCAGGCAAAGGTGGCTATTTTTCATAAACTGTCCATGGGTTTTTAGGCAACGAATGCCTGTGCTAGTCTCCGCCATTTGTAAATGGAGAAAAACCACTCCTTACTCACCGGTGGGCCAGGCAGTCCTGGGGCACCGAGTCCTGGTTCTCCCAAAGGCCCCTTTGGCCCCACGACCCCTGGGACTCCAGGGGGGCCGGGCAGGCCAGGCTCCCCTTTCGCTCCGGCTCTTGTAACTCCTCCATCGCAAGCGCAGTCCCCACCATCACCTTCGAAAACAACAGTTCACCTTCAGATATCATTTTTGAGCACAGACATGTTGGAAGGCTCCATCAGAATGAAAACATCCGAGAAGCAGGGTTTTTAACATTATTATTCTTATTATTTAAAGCAGCAAAACAAGATAGTGAAAAGTTGTATGTTTTGCTGCTCATCAGAAATTAAGCAGTGATGGGATCCAGACGACTTTCTCGGGAAGCGCATTTCTGTGCCTTGATGGCACTCAAGAAGGGCCCCGAGACTGGGGTCACAGCAGCAAAGTGCAGCATCCCAAAATCTGGGTGTGGGCGTAGGTGGTCCCTGCACTGCTGGAGACCTGCCTTGCCTGCACTAAGCCACCGAATCGGACATCATTTGTTTTTACAGAAAACGGAACTATTCTGCGAGGGGTGCAGACCAAGCTCTGTTCCCTTGTCCACCTTTTGGTGATCTCAGGGAGAAAACCCATAAAGACCTGGGGGAATCCTGCTCACCTTTGTAGCCTTTCAGACCAAAGGTTCCCGGGGGTCCTCTCGGCCCAGGTGCGCCCGGCTCGCCAGGTTGTCCAGCAAAGATGCCTTCTGCCGTCTCAATGGGACCTGGAGTTTCAAAGACAGATTAATAATCCACTCCTGGTTTGTTTTTGGTGGAGAAAGACCTAGGAAAGCACGTGGGCGCAAATTGCAAAAGATGGGGGAATGGCATCGGAAGCAATGGAGTCACATCCATCATCTATGTGTGGTCCTGTCAGCGCTGAACACCGACCATCGCTCTCCAAGGTGGCAGGCAGGATTTGTTCCAGCTGAACCTGGAGATGCTGCAGACTGAACTCGCTGCCTTCAGCACACAAAACATGTTCTCTGCCATCGAGGTCCACCCCCTCCCCAATAACAGCATCTTCTGGTGGTTTCCATCCAAGTCCGAATCAGTCTCAGTGATGATTAGCTCCCAGAACAGATGATATGGAGTGTCTTCACGGTGGTCCATCAGGAAGGTGGGAGCTTCTCTTTTCTTTCATTCATGGAAGGGCACGAAGGCAAACGTTTATGCTTACACCTAAGGCCAGAAGAGAACTGAACCAAGTCATAGGCTCACCTGATGGGCCAGGTAACCCCTGAACGCCTGGGGGACCAGGGGCTCCATCCTTGCCAGATGGACCAGGTAGCCCAACTGTTGATCTGCCTGGTTCTCCTCGATCACCTCTCAATCCTGGAACACCTGGGACTCCCATCGGACCAGGTGATGCTGCGAAAGACAGAGAAATCGAACTAGAGCCACACTGGAGCCCCATAAAGTTTGCATTAGCTTCTTCTGAGATGCTCATCCAAAAGCATTGGAGGACCATTGGATTTAGGTTGTTCCAAAAGAGAAGACCACTCCGATTAGACTCCTCTTTCAAGATGAGGAGGCTCAACCAATTTACCTGGGAAAGGTGCAGGAAATCCTGGTGGACCGGGAAAGCCCAGTGACCCAACAGGCCCTTCATCACCTCTAGGGCCAGGTCTTCCTGGTGTCCCAGGTTCTCCAGAAGGACCTAGTGTTGAAAAGAGGAGGGAAGAAGTCTATCAGTATTGCCCTGCATTAATCTACAGCATAAAGAAGTTACTTCTTTCAACTCCGGCTCCCAAAATCACAACAGCTGGAGGATTCTGAACACCGTAGATTCAACCTCAACCCCCCACCCCAACCTTCCATATTAACCTCAGCAGTAACAATCCTGAAGACACCATCAATGGGTTCACAACCCTTGAATGGTCCAGGGTTTGCATCTGTATCAGTGCCACAGAGGGCGTCCCATTACTGGTTTCAATATAAGCTGCAACCTATATTCAGCTGAGTGGTTTAGCTCTCTGGCTGCAAAGCCAGAGGTTGGGAGTTCGATTCTCCGCCCCGGGCCTCCCGGAGAGGGGCTGGACCCATAGATCCATGGGGCCTCTTCCCACTCTGAAGTTCTAAGATTATGATGATGATATAGCCTGCGTGTGCTCAATATTGTTGTATGTTTCTGTATTGAGAGATAAAATTCTCTACTTGCAAAAGTAATTTTTAAAAAATGCACCTGAGATCACGGCCCCTTCCGTGTCGACAATCACCGTGGGACCTGGGGGGCCCACATCCCCAAACTCGCCCTGGAAAATTAAGCACACAGAGATGATTCCACGATCCACGTCAGCCATTCTCCCTTAATTCCAAATGGGAGGTCAGCCCTCCTTGACTCTAAGGTGGAAAAAAAACCCCATGTGTTTGCACCGTGCAAACTGGAACATAGGTGGGGATCTGCGTGATTTGTTCTTCCGCCGCCCAAAATGCACACATTGCTAGAAAAGGCTCCCACCCACTAAATATTATTTGTGGTTCTGCAAACTTTGGGGGCTCTCGCCCGGCCATGAACAACCACGTCATCCTGAGATTGTGCTCCTTATGAGCCAAAATTAACTTTTCTGCAATCGGATAGCTTGTATGCAGGAGAACCACATACATTTTTTCTTTCTTCTTCTGACTATTGAAAAGGTCAGCCCTAGTGGGATGGCTTTTTCCTGCAAAAACCTACCCTTCCTCCTGGAGATCCATCCCGTCCAGGAAGTCCTGGCTTGCCCAGTTGGCCCTGTAAGATGAAGAATGGTAAAAGGTGACCCAAGGGCCATCATTCATCCACAGCGTTGCCCGTCGGCAAGCTCTCCGAAAGCCCTTTTGAGGATGTGCACATGTGCTAGCTGAGAATTCTACAGGGAGAAGCCCTGAGAGACGAGTGGATTGAAGTCGTCACAGTTATGATAAGAATTCACTGGCTATGCAGGCTAAGAATGATGGGAGCTGTAGTCATTAAATTCTGGAGAAGGCAACCCTCCTCGACGTGGGAAATGCAGAGCTAAAAGCATCATCAGTGGCAAGACTTGAAGAGCTTGTCAGAGAAGGAAAGCCTCCATCACCCAATTACAGAGGACCAAATTCCTCAACAGACTTGAGTAGGTTAAATTATACCGTTTGGGAGCCACCACTTAGAAGACCATCTTGGCAGCCACTGCCCAAGGTGGGGTAAAAGGTGCGCTGTACCTGTCCGCCCGGGGTTCCATCAAATCCCTTCAAGCCCATGTCTCCCTAAAAAGAAAAAAGGGAGAAGAACGTATTACTCAACATTTGTGCAAGGCTCACAGACCTGCTGGGCCATTGCTCTAGACACTGCATCACTGTCGGACCAGATGATTCAACCCTTAAGGTATATTTGCTCTTAAAATTAAGATGTGCATGGGTAAAAATGGCTTGGAGGCCAAAGACCTAAACCACTGACCTATCCAATCAGCTACCTGTATAACAATGTGTATCATATTTATAGGTGTTATATTATATGTATAATATTATGTTACTAAAAATCATGCTTTGGAATGATTCTTTTGAGCAAGTTGGCTGTAAAATTCTTGAAACGGCGATCTCCCCAAATAAACTTTCCAGGCCCCCCGATGTCTAAAACCTGCAAAGCCTAGAAATTTCACCCAACACAAAACTTCTGTCACCATAACAACGGGCGGGTTTTGCGCAGCTACTTACTCTTGGCCCTGGTAATCCAGGTACACCTTTTTCTCCTTTTTCGCCAAAACCATCAAAGCCCTAAAAAGAAAGGGAGGGATGGAGGGAGGGAGGGAGAAAAGAGAGAGAGAGAAAGAGAGAAAGAAGACAATGCAAGATAAAAGGCCCAAGATAAGCAAGGGTTAATCTACACCCCAGGAAGACAATAAGGATACAATTCAAACCCAAGATGGAAAAAGGACATGATTCATCAGACATGTGACTCAGCTTAAACATTAACAACCAAGAATCAAATCAAGACTGAAGCTCAGAGTGTTCGTTTTTTAAAATAAAAATAGTTTCAGTGCTATTCCCAAATAATTAGTTACTGTTACATTATTGCTTTAAAAACTGCCTCTTTCCCTTCTCATTTTTACAGCTCATCGGCGCTCGCAAAATGGCTTCCCTATGGACGATCTTCGCTGGATGACGAGGTATTTTCCCAATTGGAATGCATTGAACTGGATTTCAATGCATTCCAATGGGGAAAGGGGTTTCACATGACGCCGATTTCGCTAAACAGCGATTTTCCTGGGGTGGATTATTGTCGTCATGTGGGGCACCACTGTATATCAAAAGGGCTTGAAGAGGAAAAGCTCATTGAACGCTTGGGACAGAGAATCCAGAACTTACCGAAGGACCAGGAAAACCCGAGGGTCCAGGAAAACCTTTAGGGCCCAGAACACCCTGAAAAAACAACAAAAAACAAATAAGTTTGTATATGTGTGTGTGTGTGTCTCCAAGAAGGCGAGAGCTGAAGTTCACATTGACATGCAGCTCCTCTCAATATAACTCCTTCCAGATCCAGAGATCACTTCTTTACATCTTCCAATATGGTAGGCAGTGACTCCTTCTCATCCTTGAATGTGTCTAGGCAAATAAACTGAGGAGGCAACTACATCAACAAATACTTCAGGATTTGTCCCAGCAGTACAACAGTTCAGTTTGAAGTATTTTTATTTTTACCGGCCACACAAAGCAAAGACCAATGGGAACCAGCCCAGTCCTTTCTGCTTCTGATTCAGAGTTTCAACCCCCTGCTGCTGGGGGGCTTCTACTTTTCCCAAACTGGAACAGTTTGAACGGAGATTTCCTCTTCCGATCAGTTGTTTCGTTCAACGAAAGGATGGGAGGGGGGGTGCCTCTGGATAATGTTCAGGAGACAGACGAAGCTGCGCATGATGTTTCAGAAGGGTAAGAAACCCACCCCAGCAATGTTTCTCTCCAGTGGGGCCACAAAACAGTTTGATTTTTAAAAAATAAACAACTGGATCTACTGCTGAATTACTGTATTGAGGCATTGTTTGGAGGGGGGGGGGAAGGAAACTGAATACAATTGTAAAAAATACTTCAAATCAAACTGCCGGTGTAGCCACATCCTATGAAAACCCAGTTCAATTCTGGATCATTTGCAAGAATGCCAAACGTCACTTCTGCCAACATGTCAACACATCATTTGAACCAAACTTGGAAATATAATGATGAGACAGACCATCCATTGCAAAAACCAAGAGCCTGCCTTTGTTTGTTTCCTTAAGAAATTACATCTTCCACCTGGATTAGCACAGTTTCACGATTCAGAGATTCGGTGCAGAAACGGGTCCCTATGTCAACATTTCTAGAGTAATGATTAAAATCTCTTGCTGCCTTTTGTCTTGGGAAAGCTCAAGTTCTCAGAGACCAGCAAACACCAGAAGGGGAGGTGTGTCTAAAATATTTAATATATCTTGTGGTCTAAAATATCTTGTATGTCTAAATTATTTGCTATATCTTTGCTCACTGAGAGCAAATGAATTAATGGTTTACAGAGGTGAATAAATATCTGAGCCCAAGTTTTACCCATTCTCAATTGCCTCTTTTTTCTCCATGTTTCTTGAAATTGAGAGAAATCACTTTCAAACCAAGTCAAAAATATTTTTCAGTCACTGGGCAGAATCCTACTGTGGATCTAAGAGCATAAGTGTAACCACCTAAACTGCGGGGGGGGGGGGCAAATTCCCACTAATTAACAAGTTAAGCATTGTCAGTCCCAAGATAAAAGGTAAAGGTAAAGGTTCCCCTTGACAAGCTCCCTGACTGCCTTTTGTCTTGGGAAAGCTCAAGTTCTCAGAGACCAGCAAACACCAGAAGGGGAGGTGTGTCTAAAATATTTAATATATCTTGTGGTCTAAAATATCTTGTATGTCTAAAATATTTGCTATATCTTTGCTCATTGAGAGCAAATGAATTAATGGTTTACAGAGGTGAATAAATATCTGAGCCCAAGTTTTACCCATTCTCAATTGCCTCTTTTTTTGTCCATTTTTCTTGAAATTGAGAGAAATCACTTTCAAACCAAGTCAAAAATATTTTTCAGTCACTGGGCAGAATCCTACTGTGGATCTAAGAGCGTTAAGTGTAACTACCTAAAATGTGGGGAGGGGGCAAATTCCCACTAATTAATGAGTTAAGCATTGTCAGTCCCAAGATAAATGGACAGAAAAGCACACCTTGACTCCTTCCTCTCCTTTCCGAAATCCGATGAATTCCAAGATCCCTGTGGAAGGTGGAGGGCCGGGAGGTCCTGGAAGCCCAACATCTCCCTAGTGAGGGGAAGAGACGAGGTATTACGAGAAACCAGCCAGTTGTCTGAAGACCCACGGAAAACGTACAGCCCGTCCTAGATAGAAGGCCATTCCCTTTAGGCCATCGATAGTTAAACCATATTTTAAGGACTTTCAGGCTATCAAAAGATGCTCGGCTGCCCAAACAAACTCAGCACGTGTGTGACGTCACTATGACGTGCCTCCAAAATATCGGAGAAGTTCCTCTTTTTGGCCGGCCACTCCCAGAATCGGGCTTTTCACAGCGATTCTCATCCACTAAGCAAATGGACATTTTTCTGTGTGTTTCAGCTCAGCGGTAACACTACCCTTTTCATCTTCTTAAAAAGCAGTGTTAAATGAATGCTTGTCGGTACACAAAGTCTTTCCTGGGGAAAATGGGCTTTTTCTTTCTTTTATGGTGGGACCTACCTGAAAGCAAAAGGGCACCCCCTCCTACTTCTTCCCCAGCAATTAGCATTCCAAGTTATACCTTTCCTGACCAGGGAGGCTCCATAAAAACCACCATCAGGGCTAGTAGACGCTGGCAGGCCTCTTCTAACAAATTTGCTCAATCTCACTATAAACCATTAATTTAATAAATGAATGGCATGAATTAAATTAGGCATTGCACGAAGAACAGAAAACACAATTAGGGCTTACTTTTTGGATGAGGGCTCCCAGAATCCCACGTTGGCAGAAGGAATATGGGGGTTGTAGTCTACACAGGCAACTTTTCCGTACACTGGCTGCTTTTTTTTACACTCCCTCCACTCACTCCCTCACCAACTGTGCTCAGTTGCCAAAATCAGACAAGAGCAGACGCATCCCGGATGGGACAGGATGCCCTTTTCTTTTTAAAAACTAATCTGTTTATTTATCACCAGCATCTCAAAACTGCAGAGCTGGAAGGGACCTGATAGATCATCAAGTCCAGCCCCTCTCATGTAGGCAACATGGGGGAATTGAACTCCCAACCTTCAGCTCTGCAGCCAGAGGCCTTAAACCACTGAGCTGTTTAGCAATCTTGGACTGCACGGAATATAGTTGAGGAAATGCAACTAATGAAGTGGGCTGCAATTCACAAAGGCCTCTCCCAAATACAGCTCATTAGTTTTGAAGTGGCCACACGCTCCTCGTTTTTATACCTATGGTTTCGTCCTGCTTCTGCTAGCCAGAGAGGAGAGGCCACGATCTACGGGAAGCAGTTAACCGTTGCCTAGACGCTGATGGGTTAACTTGAGCAAGGCCAGCTGGAGAAACCCATAACAACCGCCTCGGCACAGCGCGGCGCTCCGGCGCTAATGAGGAACAGATTGGGCCGGCTGCCGAGCGATTGGGTGGATAATCAGATTTCTGCTGTCAACACTCCGCTGACATCTGCGGACATTCGGGGAGAAATAAAACGGTAGGCTAGGAGAAGTTGATGACAGCTATACATGGAAGTTGGACATAAGCTGCCTTCTGGGCTCCAGGTGGGATTCTGGGAACTTTAGGCCAAAAAAGAGGTAACTTTTTTCCAAGCTCTGAGTTGTTGGGAACCTCCAAGTTCAAAGGCCAAGCATTTCCACCAATGCAATTTTATGCATTCATTATACAACCCACAGTTTATCTGTCAAGATTCTCGGTCCTCCAGGTGAGGTTATCTGGATGTTCAGTCATGACAAATGGACTTCTTTCTTATTAGGATTAAACCCATGGAGTTCAATGGGTCTACCAAGTAAGGAATATAAAAGTCACTACTTTTGTACACCACCTTTCCGTCGAAAGGTGCCCCAGCGGCATTACAACCTCACGCCATTTCTGCAAGGTAGCTGAGGCTGGAAAAACTAGAAGGCAAAAGTATTATTCCTAGAAATTACATTTATATGTCGGTTTCACTCAGAGGAGTATACACAGTTCTCTTATTCTCCTTTTATCCTCACAATAATTCTATAAAGCAGGGCTTCCCAACCTTGGGCCCCTAGACCATCTTGGACTACAATGCCCAGAAGCCTTCACCAACAGTTGTGCTGGCCGGGATTTCTCGGAGTTATTGTCCAAGAACATTTGGGGACCCAAGGTCGGGAACCACTGATATAAAGGTATAATAGACTACCTTTCAAGTACGTATTGAAAGAGTGCTATCCCATCTCTCCTCGGTCTTCTTTTCTCAAGGCTAAACATGCCCAGTTCTTTCAGTCTTTCCTCATAAGGCTTGGTTTCCATTCCCCTGATCATCCTTGTTGCCCTTCTCTGAATGTATTTCATGCATTGTCATGGTAAAAAAAAAACCCAATACCAATCAAACTTACTTTTTCTCCCTTTTCTCCCTGAAAACCAAGGCCACTGTTCCCCTAGGAAACATCAAATAATAATAGATTATTGTTTTTTGCAAATAAATATTTTAAATTTTTTTATAAAAAGACTTAGATAGAAGAATGATCACAATCCCATTAATGGCACAGCAGCATTTGGTCTTAAATTGTTAGGGTTGCTCTAGAACTTATTAACACGGGCCCTCTAAGTCTTCGCCCCACTGAAGCAGGGGAAGCCACAGCAACGGATGCTGGTTACCTTCAGACATTGTGAGAAATCATTGTTTACTGTAATGGAAAGCCTTTCTTACAGGCTCACAACCTTCCCACCTTCCACACCTCCTCTGAGAAAGCCATAAATTTGGACATTTCTCCTTCTAGCTTATTAACCACGGTTTATTGTGTTATCCAATCATCAAACCACAGTTTAGCAAACTGCCTTGTTTAAGACAAAAACCAGTTGAGATGAAACACAGTTCAGTGTTCAATCACTTCCCTAAACTGAAGCTAATCTAAAACAGAAAAAAGATGCAGTATTCTCCCTGCAGCTGTACTCGAGTAGAGGGGAGTCTAGTTTTTTTTCCTCTGAGAAGAAACAATGGTTTATCATAACCTTAAAAGGCAGCAGCTACCAGCTTCTTGATCTGTTATGACAAAGTTTGGAAATGACTTACTCTAGGCTCAGGAAAAGCTACTCAGACGTAAGCGCCTCCTTTGCCAGGAAGGCCAACCCTTAATTTAGTTAAAAGTTGATTTCTAGCTTTAAATCTAGTTTTCCCCAAATAATGTGGAAGATGTATCATTATAATAAGATAAAGTGGGGGAAAGATTAAATCTTAATCCATCCACCAGGGCATTCCAAGAAATCACATCTGAATTTCAGAAAAACTCCCTTTGAGAATTTAACCTCACTCTTTAACTAAACACTCAAAAGCAGTATAAACAATTGTGTCTCTCTTCCCACAATCCTTTCACCTTCCAAGATTTGATTCTGACGTCGTCTTCTCTTGTTATCTAACTCCAGGACAATATTATGACAATAACAGACTCTTACCGCCGAGAAAGCGCCGACAATTGTTTGAAAACGAGAAGGAAAGATGAACAAAACAGAGGAGAACTTTCTACAATGACTTCGTTGATAGCAAAAAATAAAAATAAAAAAAATGCTGTAAATATAAGCCATGAGAACATCTGTGAGTCAAGAATTGAGGAGGTAACCCAATTTACATACCTTCGGACCTTGGGGGCCGGGGAAACCGGGTAGCCCCTAAACAGCAACAGAACAATTTCAATTATACGTTGAAAAACATATGTTTTGTGCAACAATTTTACAAATTTAGAGGCTCAACAAGGAGTTTTTAAGAAGGGCAAGGAAAGGAAGGCCTCCATCAAAAGGCCCCAAGCATACCCTAAGCCCTACTGGGCTTCGGTCAAGAGGGTAGAAGGTTGGGGTTTTTTTTGGAAGGACTGTTAGTTCTCAAGATGCCAGCTGAAGTCTAGAGAATTATTGTCCTTCTCCAGATTGACAGGCAGGGAGATAAACCACAGGGGAAACACTGCTACAGATAGACGTTTTGATTTGAGGTTCCCAGCTATTTTCTCATCAGAAAGGTGCTTCTTCTACCTGTGTATGTCATGATGGTCCCAAGCATTTTCGGTACCCACCATTTCACTCTCCATCCTGCCTCCTCATTTCTAGCTGTTTAGTGTAGCACAGTTCACAAGACCAGGAGTGGAGCACCTGAGTCATGACTCATGGGCCTTCTTGCTGCTCGAGTAGCAACATAGAACCTGGAAGCACCACCGGCCCTTCAAACCACCTGCCCTACTTCTGTGACATCACAAGGGCCACCTCTAGACTTAGATTTTGGCCCTAAAATTTCTAGGAACGGGGTTCTGCTGCCATGACAACCTTCACTGACATGGGTAACGTTCAGCTCTCCTCCCTCCACTGAGCTAGGTTCTGACTTTTAATGGAGGGCCAGCAAAGGCTTCTGGTTAGGAGAGCGAGCCATGTCAACAACAAATGGCTGCAACCAGTAAATTCCAAGTATTCACAGCATAATTGATAACAACAAGAAAAAAGAGAGCGGAAGATTTACCGGGAAGCCGGGAAGCCCAACTGGACCAACAGGGCCTGGGAGGCCTGGGAAACCTTTAGGACCCTGCGAATGAAAACAATGAAAATATAAAGTTGTGGGTTGTTATTAAATTCATCCGTTAGGCTTTCCAGAAGGATGGAGGAACATGGAAGAGAAGTCTACGTGTCTTAGTTTGTTGCAGTAGTTCCCAGCTTTGGGTCCCCAGGTGTTCTTGGATGAAAACGCCCAGAAACCTTTACCACTATAATAATAATAGTTCATCTCACTGAGATCTTACTTTCTGGACCAGTTCAATGTCTATGTGAAGGATGGAAATCATGGGCCTCCGAAGACTGTTTCTGAAGTCCAGGAAGCTTCAAAATTTAATACTAATAATAGTGTCCCATCAAGTCTATTATGAAACATGCTGAACTTTTCTAGAGATTTCTAAGCAAAAAATAAAATAAAATAAAATACACAGATGTGGTTTAAGATTCTCTTCTTCCAGGGAAGGGGAGGCTCTCCAAATTTTACCAGCAGTAAAAGAAAATCAATAAGAAGAGTATTTGCATATTGGTTCTCTTATAGGAGTTGCTCCACCTCACTTTAACGTCAAAAAAGTTTGGGAACTGAGCTATCACCGTCATGAAGAGGTTGCTTGCCGAATTATGTTGTAAACCACCCAGAGAGCGCTCTAGCGCTATGGAGTGGTATATATGTTGAATCAACAACATCATCTTTGGAAAACGACATGTGTTCAAAGCAATAGCATCCCCCCGCGAAAGCCATCATAAACAGCAGACACATGTATAAACACATGGACAGGTTTACTTTAATAGCAATTTAGCCCAAATTCTAGGAAAAAAATACAGTGGAAACTGATGGAAAACAAACTTACCACAGCCCCGTCCAATCCAGGAAGGCCACTGTCTCCCTAAAATAAGAACCAATGCTTCTGATGAAATAAACAGCTACTAATACTGTGCAGAACAATTCTTTTTAAAATGTGTTAATCATGAGCCAAACCTGGGAGAAATGTATTTTCTATACTCCCAGAATCCCCAGCCACATTGGACACTGTCTACGCTGGGTGTGGAGACTCTGGAATTCGTCAACCCCCACTCCAAATAAATTACTTCTCCAAACTCTGAAAACAGCAGCGCTTCTCCGTTAAGATGTCGCCGTTAAGATGTCACGAGAACAACCTGAATAGATCGTCGGCCACACTGGAAGGATCCTTCTGAAGAATTATCTCACAAAATAAAAACCAGAGGGGCGTCTATGTGGTTGCTGGCCCCCCGTCCCAATCCCCTTATCAGCTCAAAAAAAAGGGAGAGGTAAATTAAAATGAAAATTATTTTTGGGTTGGGTAGAGGGAAAACAAAAATCTGAACCCGATGTTCATGGGTTCAGTCAGTGCATAGTTGTCCTCTAGCAGCCAACACTGCAGAAGCAGAAGATGATGATCATCCTCTTGGAAATGCAGAGCTGGATGCATAGTTGATCTCTAGCCAACACTGCAGAAGCAGAAGATGATTATCATCCTCTTGGAAATGCAGAGCTGGATGGGACCCTATGGATTATGGAGTCCAGCCACTGTCCAAGATGCCCAGTGGGGGAATCAAGCTCCCAACCTCTGTCTCCGCAGCCATATTTAACTGGTGGACATCAACCAAGGTAAGTTCATTATTTAAGCAGAATGTGTGAACATTCCTTACCTTCATTCCTTTGAGCTCCCAACGTCTGTCTCTGCAGCCATATTTAACTGGTGGAAGTCAACCAAGGTAATTCAAGCAGATTGTGTGAACATTCCTTACCTTCATTCCTTTTAGAGCTCCTTGGGCAAAAACAGGCTCACCCTTGAGACCTTTTGAGCCAGGACGACCCTGCATATAACACATACACACATATACTGGTCAATGGGTGTGTATGTGTGTGTGTTTGTGTGTGTGTGATATCTAAACAAACAGAACATTTTAACCAAAAATCAAAGTACAATGCCCAAAGCTACACATTTGTCATCTCGTGCTCCTGAGTTTTCTACCTGTTGAAAGTAAAGCATGGAAAAGCTAGGCTTTTAATTTATGACTCATAAAAGTCTACCAGCCGGTGGCTGCCACACTGCCTGGTGGATTCTAAGGGGGGGGGGACCCAAAAGTGGCTTCCCCAGCTATTCATCCGAAGGATTCTGTCTGCCTACATTTCTTTTCTGGATGTCTTCTATTGCTTCAAGATTGCTTCCAAGGGTCCTTCTCAAAATTCACATGGTTGGTGTAAAAAGACCAGAGACATCCGGGTCTAGAACTCATCTACAAAACCTGTGGTGAGGACGGAGATCTTCCCAGCCCCAGGGGTTTCCACAAGGCTGTCCCAGAGACCTCCCCACCCCCCGCAACAAAATGTTTGACACCCCTGAGGGTCAGCCTATCCAGACACCTATCAATGTGGATCGAGATGTACCGGAGGCCCTTGAGCGCCAGGAATTCCAGCCACACCAGGGAGACCAGGACCTCCAATGGTACCGTTGCAACCGTCCAGACCGGGCAGTCCTCGGGGCCCTGGTTGACCAGGGTGACCCTGTAAAAAGAAAACAAGAGGGAGGAGAGAGATACACACTAAAATGAGCATTTATTTTTAAAAAACCCACGAATTCGTAAAAGGTTAAACTTGTTTAAACTCTCTGTGTGGTGACGTAAGCCACTATTGTAGAAAGAATCTCTCCAGGTCGACCTTTCTCCCACTGGTGGTTTCCAGAAATGTTGGGTTGCGTCATTCAATGGATCGTATCCTTCTCTGGAGTAAAACCAAGGTTTTGTTAAGTTGACAACAATCCCTTCTGATTTTTGCTTCTCCATGTATAAAACAGCATAGACAGTTTAATGCAAACCGGCGTCCTCTTTGTTCCTCCTTTTGGGTGGTGTATTAAGTGGCCACCCTCGTTAGTGGAAGCTGACAGAAGCTGTGAGCCCAAAACATCTGGAAGGCTACATCTGCTCACCTCTGGTTCATTGAAACAAGCATTCAGATAATGATGAGAAAAGACCAGAGTCCAGAGCTATTAGATTAGATTAGAAACATACGCTACTGTGGTGTTCAAAAACAGGCTGGTTCTGAAGCCATTGTCATGGCTGAACTTGGAAATCAAAGTTTGAAGAGCGCACAGTGGTGCCTCGCTAGACTGTTACCCCGCATGACAGTTTTTTCACTAGACATTGACTTTTTGCAATTGCTATAGCGATTCGCAAAACACTGATTCCTATGGGGGAATTTTGCTGGACAATGTTTGGTCCCTGCTTCGCAAACCAATTTTCGCTAGACAACAATTTTGACAACTCCCTCCGCGCTCGCAAAACAAGTGTTTTCGGGACCTAAGCTTTGCAAGACAGCTATTTAAACAGCTGATCGGCGGTTTGCAAAGCGGCTTTTCTATGGCTGATCTTCGCTAGACAATGACAATTCTTCCCCATTGGAACGCATTAAACAGGTTTCAATGCATTCCAATGGGGAAATGCTTTTCGCTAGACAATGATTTCGCTAAACAGCGATTTCAGTGGAACAGATTATCATCGTCTAGCGAGGCACCACTGTATTTTTTTGCTATTTCTTATGGCAGCTTTTTTCAGAAAGGAAAATTTAAAGGCAAAATTCACCAGTAGGTGGCAGCAAGAACAACTTTTGAAGAGCCTCACTGCAGAGCAGCTTTGCCTACCCTCCGGAACCACAAAACCTATCATCCCTAGAGGGCTCCAAAGGATGGGAGTTGTGATCCAGCATGTAACTGTCCTCGAGGAGACCAAGTTTGGGAAAAGCTGACCAAGAGAATCCAATACACGCCCAGACCTAAAACACATTTCCTCCAGAAAACACTGGCTATTTGAAAAAAAAAGGGAGCAGGAAGTCAAAAGGAAAAAAGCTGTACAAGCCAAAATAAGAGGAAAGTGTTTATAAATGTCAGGAGAGTTCTGATAAGGTCACTGGACAAGCTGGACATTAAAGTGGAAGAAACACTATGTCTGGAAAAGCACCATGTTATGAACAAAGTATTTTCTGTTGCTAACACAGTAAAAAAAAAAACTTAAGTTGAATACAAAAATAAGTACGCGTATCTTTCAATTCCCTCCATGTCATTTCCCCCCACACACTTAGTTGTAGAAGAGGTAGCCATGTTAGTCATCCACACACTTAATTCTAGAAGAGGTAGCCATGTTAGTCTGTAAAAAAAAAAAATTAAAAATAAAGAAGACAAAAACATTGTGGCAATTTAAAGACTAACTGCTATATTTTAATTGTGAGCTTTCATGCACAATTCCACTTCCTCAGGCAGGAAGCAGAGTGTCTGCAAAAGCTCACATTAAAATATAGCAGTTAGTTTTTAAGGTGCCACAATATTTTTGTCTTTTTTTTCCTCTCTTGAAATTCCCACGAGGGGGAAAAAGAATTCAGTTTTTTCCCCCTTTGCCTTCAAAATTTCCAGAAATATTACATTTCTGCCTGCTTCGAGCCTGGATTCACTGGCCCATATAAGGTCCCACATCTGGTGGTGCTGCTTTCTTGAACTCCGTGACTGGATACAATCCCGTTCTTTGCCCCAACAGTTTTAAAACCGAGTGTGGGGCAGCTGAAATTTCTGCCCCCAAAAAGTAAGATTTGGCAAAACACAAAGGAATACTTAGGGGGGGGGAAATCAACCCTTGCCAGTAAAAATGCTGATTTTTCCAGTTCTTGCTGCATACGTCCTTTATCTTCCTCTCTGATTAAAAGCTAATCCTTTAAACTGGGGGGTAGGAGAACTCAAACGCTAATCTTTCCGCTTACATACTTGTCATTGGTTTGGTAGTAAAGTATCTTCTGTCAACACAACATCCCATAATAAAATGTAAACATTGAGCTGTGACTATTCAAAGCAAACACGCGGCGTGCTTCATACATTTATGTATGGTATGCAGATTTATCGCCCAAAAGCTGCCGTTATCTCGCTGGGGACTAGTAATTCAGGGGAAATGAGAATTACATCTGTGCACACAGAAATACCAGCATCAACTCCCCCCCCCCAATGAAGATAACCCGATAACAGGATTATTGTTTATGGGCTAATATTGCCTCTTGCTTTAAATCTTCACAAATCTCTCAGCGTCGCTTTCTTAAACTAACGGGGGAGTTCACACATGAAACGTGGACTCTTGCGCTCAAGTCATATCAGCCATAACCACATGTCAACTTATGTTTTGATGTGGTCTTTGTACATTGGAAAGGTGGGATAAACTCTGGTCTACACGTGCAAAGGCATAAGGTGGTCAAAATGGACACCCCATCAAGGGGAAGGTATGTTTCCTTATGTTACAGGGGAGGGAAATCCCCGCAGACAGAAAAAACAGCACAGAAGGCAACTTCCTGATGTGTTAGCTTTCTAACTGCAGGCCAATGTTGCTTTGGTTGTTCATTTAAAGCACAATGCTTTGTTTTTGGCATGGTTCCCTCCCTGACATTGTTACAGGCATTTATTCTGAGGAAGAAGAGCAGTTTAATGCAACCTAACATGGATAGCACACAACGAAACTTTATTTTCGTTGTTTTGCCCTGAAACAAGTGCAGATGTCCTCCCTGATCCAGATTTGGTCACCTGTACAGATGTTGGGGGTGATTTAAACCTTCCTCCCAGACTCTGTTACTCCTTAAATTTCTATTCCCCGCATTGGGGGGGGGGAGAGAAAAGGGAAGAGTGTGGACTTCCTTGCCACTAAGAATTTCTTAGCCTTACTGTGGGAGGGAGAATAAATTTCACCGGGTGGAAAACTGCCAAGGGGAAAAGATGTAGGCCATAGTTCAAAGTAGAATTTAGCCAGCGTCTTTGGGTCGGAGTCCCAAGTCTGGTACCAAGTCCCAAGTCCCTGTTAAAAATAAGCTTTTCCCCCAGGAAAAAAAGGGAAGGGTGGGTGGGTTCCCGACTTGCAACTCATTAAAAAAACAACAACAAAAAACCCAAGCCAAGTCACCTGTTTGACTGGTTCAACTTGACAGGGAGTCCCGCACCTCGCCGCACCTCGAGCCCCCATCCATGATTTTAGCGGCATGTTAATGCACCCATGGGGTTTAACCCTAAGTTCCTTCCAAGGCAGCAGGGTTTGCTTCAGAGTAGACCTATGCACTGGCCTGTGCCCTTTTGATGCAACAATGCCTTCTTCTACAACCACTCGAGAAACACAGAAAGGGTGGGGGAGGGAAGAGCCAGACGGAATAAAGGACGAATGTACGGCTGATTCAATAAGCCGCTTTGTATATTATTAGGGCTGAGTTTCCCCTTCTGGCGAGTGCCAGATCCTGCCTTTTAAAAAAGCTCAAGTTAAAAAAGAAAAGAATCAAATACACTAAACAGAGCGGATAGAAGCCATTCCAGGCACTGTCTCACCGAAATGTTTCCATTGAGCTGGCCTTGTATATTCAGCTGAAATGGTATAAATTCGTACTGCGCTCTGTTTCCAAACTTCTGAACCTTGTTCCATGGGAAAAACTAAACACAGGGGCTGGGGGTGGGCCATTTAAGGGCCACTTCTCCCGTACATCTGCGGTTAACAGTTCATAAACACAAGCGGAGGCAGCTGCTGCCAAGACCTTTCATCGGCCCAGCTGCAACAACACGAAAAGCCGGCAACTTACCTGGCGGTCAACATTCCCTGCATGACCCTTGCTAGCTCCTTTCTCCTCTGCAAACTTCCCCCCCCCAGCCTCTTAAAGACAGACCCCACTGGGTTCCGTTGCCCTGACGCAACTGATCCACGCAACAGGCCATGAAAATGGGAAGAAATCCACTACGTTTCAGGCCTTGATTTCAGTGGCCGGCTTTCCGATTCCAATCTCCAAAGAACTTGGGAGTGGATGACCTGAAAGGCTGCCTTCTTCTCCAAGCAGTGACCATCTGAAATTTAATTTTCCCTTGCAGATCCTGTTCTGAGCCCCCCTCTCTTTCGGCTACCACGTGCACTTGCCTACCAGAGACTGGGATGTTTGGGTCACAGAACCCCAGAGAGTGAAGAGACTTCCCAAAGAGACTTCCCTGTGATCTTCTAAAGAATCAAGTGAGCACCTCTGAAGTAAGAGTGGGACTACTAGACCATGGGAAAAATGTGAATGGCTCTGCTGTGAAGTCACACCTGGGATGTCAGGTTTCCCTTGGGGAATTCACTTTAGCTTAACCACACAGGAGTCAGAAGAGAGAAAAAGAGGGAAACTGGTGAAACAGCCTTGTTTGCAGCTTGTTAAGGTAGCTTTGCTTCAGCCATGGGCATGGCTATAGCAGAGCTACCTTAACAAGATGCAAATAAGTGCTGGTTAGCAATTTCCTCCCCTCTTCCTCACAAATATGAGTGTGCACCACCAGCTGGTCTTGTAAAGGCTGAATGCCGGTTTCCTCCCCCCTCTCTTTTTGATCTCGTAAGTGCCCTAGTACACCAGCAGTTGCACCAAGACTTTAAATGAATGAGTGAATGAATGAATGAATGAATGAATGAATGAATGAATGAATGGTTTTGAGACCAAAGGTGCTCAGTTGGAGGCACCTAACACCCTCATAAGTGCCTCCTTACTTCCTCTTTCCCACTTTAAACTAGGAAACTAGGGAGAGCTAGGTTGTAGTCATCCATTTAGCTGCATTGGCACAAGTAAGGCAATTCTGCCAGGCCTGTTCGATTATAAGAGATACCTTCTCTGTCTTGACTTCCCCACAGATCTGTGCTTAATCTGTAGCTAAAATGTTTACAGATAACATTCACTTAAATACTTAAAATGCAATGGGACTTACAGGAACACCATATATCCCCTGAAATCCAGGAACCCCCATCGGGCCCTAAAAGAATAAAAACAGCACAGTTAAAGTTTCATCTTATCTGCAGTTCTGATCCCCTTAAGCAACATATGCTAGTTTAGAAGGCATGGGGGTTTATAAGCAAAGATGGCCTCTCCACCTCAAACCTCATAATCTTATTTATTGCAACTATGCCCTGCTTATCAACCCTGATTAGCTTCTGCTGCATAATCAAGGATAAGTTGCTATATGTGGAATTTTAAAGACCAACATGTTTTGTGTGGCGTAAACTTTCATGGACTGTTAGCTCGCCTCATGGGATCCGACCGGCCTTCTGATGAAATGGAACGGCAATGTGCGAACAGGCACGTAGATGTATCTTGTTCATCTCCAAGGTTTCATAAGACCCCCTCCTGCTTTTACCGCGATCAATCGACGTAGCTGCCCCCACCCCTAAAACCCAATGTTGTATAAATCCGGGTGGTCTTTTCTGCCTGATGGAAGCTGTCTGAAGATACGTTCCAGTCCTCTCAAGAGGATGATAGAAGGAGGAGGCGCAGCTGGATTTATGGGCTGGCGGACGATAAGAACGCCTACAGAGAACTTCTGTTGAACAGGCAGCATCTTCTGGACCCCATCTGCAGTTAATAAGGTGCAACTTCTACTGAGAATGAACACATTAAAAAAACTCAAGTTCTCGAGGGAGAATCTGTGGACCTGTTTTGTCTTTGTGGTTTGAAAACCTCTTTTTCACGGCCTCTTTCTCCACCCTAGGGAAGAGTGATATAGCTGCCTCCAGAGTCGAATGTTCGTGGACCTCGGCAACCGGGGATAAAATTCGAAGCTGGGGCTCCCAAGTGTGAAGCTCAAGACTTCTGGATTAGTGGAGATGATGCGGTTCTCGGCTACCCTCCCCGGATTTCCATGGTCCCTCTGAGCTTTGCTGTCTTCACAGCAGCTGAAGCTGGGGAGTGTGGGATGCCTTTCCCAGCAATGGTGGTTGTTTTGTGATCCCTGTTATAACTATTTCAGCTTGGTCTTGAAAGGACGATGAAGAGCCATTAGCTTCACAAAAGCCCTGTTCCTGGCAGAGCTGAAAACAACTAGGAGTGGTTTGTCGAAACGGACAAACGCAGTGGCCTCCGGTTTTGTACTTTCCGTGGGATATACCTAAGGCGACCATGATCACGTGCATGCGCACATCAATGAATTTCTTTCTGAGTTTTGTCCCTGTGAGCTAGGTGTAAGAGATCCATAACACTGCCCAGAATGGTTATAATTCTAACTTTCTGCTGTTGTTCTGCTCTTCTTGTTGGGATTTTTAAAAAATCAGAGGTTCTTTTAAAGCAGTGGCTCCCAACCTTGGGTGCCCGGATGTTTCTTGGACTAAAACTCCCAGAAGCTTTCATCACTCGCTGTGCTGGCCAGGATTTCTGGGAGTTGTAGTCCAAGAACATCTGGGGACCCAAAGTTGGGAACCATGGCTGTAACCTAAGACAATAAAGGGTAGCATCTTGTGCAAATCTGAGCCCCCTCAGCCATTGCCAAAAGCCACCAAAGAGGAATCTAGCTTTACCTGTGGGGTGACTTAGAGCCACGCAGGAACTCACCTTATCTCCCTTGGGTCCGGATGGACCTGGAGTGCCCGGCGTCCCTTTCTCCCCCTTTGGCCCCCTCAAGCCTTCGGGCCCAGTGAATCCTGGAGCACCCATCTGTCCTTGGTTCCCAATTGGTCCTGGACGACCCTAAAAGGAAGGAAGGAAGGAAGAAGCCAATCTTTCACTCCTTTGCCAACATATCCTCCAGAGTAGACACATTCTAGATGGGCAGTATATAAATCTAATAAATACATAAAATAAATAAACCATCCGGTTCACTCTCAACATATTTCATTCCTACAGTCTGATGGCCGTCAAAGTTTTGGAACTTTCGATGGAAGTGCACACTTTGGTACAATTGAATTAATTAAATCATGGTTATCGTCATAGGCGTCTTGTAGTATCTCCTCATAGCAATTTGTCCAATTTATTTTTCTTTCTTTCTTTTTAGCCATAGCAAAAGGGGGGAAAAGTGAATTTAAATGTGGTTCATTTTCCATTATAGGGTGAAAAGGTGTCTCATGACAACAGTTGCCTCTTCAGTCCTCTCATTTCTTTCTTTCTTTAACTACGTTTTTTATCCCAGCTTTCTGTCGAAAGACGGCAGAGAAATGCGAGGTAAAGCAAGTTCAAAACGAATTAAAGACCTATTAAAAACAAAGCAGACAATAAAACATTGAAATCGTCACCATGCTAAAACTGATTTGACTACTGGCTAAACAGACGACTTCAATTTTTTAAATGTTTCCAATTGGGTGGGGAGTCTTATAGGGGAAGAAGAGATGCCCACGGGAGATTCCTTCTCTCCCTCAAGGTGGACAACAGGCAAAAAAGCACCATTTTTTTTGACTTTTCCAACCGTGCCTGTCAATACCAGGGGCTGAGCCTTCTGTGTGCAAATCATGTGCTCAAAGCATGGAGCTCCACTCCTTAGTTCTGTCCCAACCTAAGCGCATACTTGCTGCATCACATGACCTAAAGCTGATTTAAATGTGCCAAGATTTCGGTCCGTGTCTGAGGCATGAATTCTCCATCCAGTTAACTGCCAGAAGCAGTTCTACAAATAGAAGCACCTCATCACAACCGAATGTCTTTATACCGATGAAGACGACAACAGATCTCCTCTCTAAGGAAGGAGATTTCAAACATTGGTCATCATGATCAGTGGTGTAATTAAAACACACAGAAAGGCGGGCGAATGCACAGATGCAAAACTAGGTAAAACTTCAGGGGGCACAGTTTAAAGCGGGGGGGAAATATAACTGATTTCCTTTCCAGGTGTTAAAGTTCAGATATTACCTTCATGACCATCCCAATTTCAAGGTAAACGCTTGACAAGATTAATTTGATACATGGTGCAATTACATAATTTAACCAGATGTGCAAAGCATGTATCTCTTAGGATGAGGGGAAACAGAGCTGCGATGGTTCATAGTTTCCTGGATCAGTATCTTGGGTGTTTAAAGTGAAATTTATTGAATATTGGGTCCCTGTGCATCCATTTTTATGTGCCCTTTCTCAGCCACATCCAATGGGTTTTTTATTTGTTTTGATTAACAATCTTGATTGCTTTTCTATGCTATTTTATGCTATTTTATTGTAAGCCGCCCAGAGTAGACGTAGTCTAAACGGGCGGGGTAGAAATTTAATAAATAAATAAAATTAAAAAAATTAATTTTCTGCCCACGAATGTCCCAAATCTTGGCAACACCAACAGCAGCTGTCAAGATGGTCTACACGCAGTGGTCCCCAACCTTGGGCCTCCAGATGTTCTTGGACTTCAACTCTCAGAAATCCTGGCCAGCAGAGGTGGTGGTGAAGGCTTCTGGGAGTTGTAGTCCAAGAACATCTGGAGGCCTAAGGTTGGGGACCACAGGTCTATAGGATACCTGACGTGGATAACTGAATGAGAAAAGGAGTCCATTTCTGAAATTCTCTTGCATGGGGTCACTTTGTGAATGGTCTCCTGTAGACCATCTTGACGGCTGCCCGGGTAGCCATATCAAATCTTCTGTACCTTCCTTTCACACAACCCAATGAGGATGAAGCATGCTTTCACTGGAGGCACAACTGCTTTGAGCAGCAGCAAAGGGCATCATCCACTAGGCACATCCTAGACTGGCCCTTCCCACACTCGGCACCTGCAGATACTAAATGCCTGAGCAGGGGGTTAAAGCCTTATTCCCCCCCCCAATAATCCATTAATAAGGTCCACATATTCACAAACCCCAAAGATAATGCGCACCGGGCTTTCCTCCAAACATTTATGCAACCGGAGAAGCTGGAAGCTGTTCACTGCCTAGAAATAAAATCTTAATCGCGTTGGGCTAGCCTTCGGTTGAGAAAGCAAATCTTGCCATGTGCCTCGTTGAACTGTTTGGGGCTCCTGAGGTAATAAAGATAATTACTAGCACCCCTGTCATAGTTGGAAGATTGGCTGGGCGTAGAGGTTGTTGACCGTGGTTTAAGGCAATGGCTTCTCTTTATTCTAGAGATGGAAAAAATATTCTTGCCAGACAAACTCATGGACTTCAAAGGATTTAAATAAAATTCATAAGAATTAAATTATCATGGCTTAATCATATTACGAGGGAGATTATCTAAGGGTGTTTCTGGAGCAAAGGACACTGGGTAAATTCAGAACTTTGTTGTGTGTGAAGGAATGAAAGGACTGAGTCGTTTCTACCTTCCAAACCTTCCTGGGAATTAGGACACAGAGCCCGTGCTTAATTTCTCGAGGAGAAAGCTCCTCAAAACTACCTGTGCTCCATTTTGGAAAACGGCTGGATGCAATTTTTACCTTGCACACCAGCCTCGTACGATCATACAGTGCCTTCAGAATCACTGAACCAAAAAAAGCCCTGATGTCATGAATTCCGGCTTTCTGTCATTCCAGGTCACACATACATGGTAGATTAAATACATTCTTTGTAGCTTCGCGTTCTTTTTCTGTTACTCGGAAAGTAAGAGCCAATGGCCCTGATCTAGATCAGAGCAAGCACAAAGAAGGGCAGAACTAGGCAAGGCTTAGAGATGTGCCGTATTTTCCGTGTATAAGACGCCCCCATGTATAAGACACCCTCCACTTTTCTAACCCAAAATTAAGAAATCTAAGTGGGGATTAGCAAGTGTAGGGGGAAAGGGATCAAAGCGCTGCAGGATCACTTTGATCCCTGCTTTCCCTTCCACTTGTTTTTGTTCTCTCCTCACCTTGCTTCCGTGTATAAGATGACCCTCAAGATTTTAGACACAAGTATAGTCTTATACATGGAAAAATACAGTATACAAACAGAACCAGCCCTCCAGGGAGATATAAAAAGGGCAACACATTCCCATTCCATTCCCCTTACTATCTTGTGTGGGTAGAGGACCGGGAAGGGGAATGGTTAAATCTGAGCCTGATGGGTGCACGTTTTAGACTTCTCTTTCTGCCACATGCTGGCCCTGATCTAGATTTGGGTTACACATCATTCTTGTAGAGCAAAAAACAAAAAAAGGTGGGGGTGTCATGTCCTCCATACATCTCCTCCCTTGGAATGCAACACCTGTTCACCACATTGCTTTTCTGTGACCTTATCACAATTCAGAGGAAAGCACAAATCCAATATCATTCGATACAGAAGAATTTTTGGGATCCATAGTTTATTGACTAAAGGCTCTTTTGATTAAAAAAAAATAATTTACTTCATTTATACCCAGCCTTTCCTCAAATAAAGAATCCTATAGAGGTGCACAGCCGTTTTTAAAAATAGATGTATAAAACCTCAATAAATCAAGACATGATCATTAATTGGTCTGTAATCTCTTGATTACCACAGTCTGCCTCTTTTCTTTTAGCATTACATTTGTTTCTATTTTGTACTTCAAGATGGGGAGCACAAACATATAAAATTCCACCCTCCCTTTAACATGCACTATGGGAATACAACTTTGAACACAACTGCAGCATGACTTTCATTATAGGTCATGATGTATTCCTTCTGCCTGTCAATTCTCCATGTTCACAACAAACTCCCTAAAACTTTCATTGTCCCTTTTTCACTCTTGTTTACAATGATTGTTTTTGTCCAATCCCGAATCGGAAATTTTAATATTCCCAAGAGAGAACAATAGAGCAAAAAAGAGGAAAATTATTACATCCTCTGTAGATAATTGCATTAAATAAATGTCAGCCCAAGTATTGGCAGAACATTTTCCTGCACAAATTTAAAGTGTTTCCAGCTGATGTGTCTGGATAGCATGGAAAACAGTGGAAGAGAAATCTGGAAGATTCTGGTATGAACTGAACTTTCAACTTGGCTACCTTCTTGATAGGTGGCCTTCGGGAAGTTACTTTCAGGCCTCGGGCCCACGGTGGCTGAGCATTCTGGGACTTCTGTTTACACTATGATGTTCCACCTCAAGCCTACACTAGAAATATAAAAACAACAAAAACATTTGTGTGCTATCAAGTTGATTCTGATACAGTATATGTTGACCCTTTCCAGGATTTTCCAGATAAGAGAATACTCAGAAGTGCTTTACCCTTCCCTTCCTCTAGGGGCAACCTTGGGACCGTGCAGCTGGCCCAAGGCTACCCAGGCTGGCTCTTTCTCCCAGGAGGCAGAGCATGGGAACTGAACCCCCAACCTCTTGTTCTGCAGTCAGAGACCTAAACCACTGAGTTATCCAGCCAGTTAAAGGTAACAATACGAGGTGATACCCAAACCCTTACAAGATTTTGTGGAATAATTATAAGAACCTCTTTGGCATGTGCTCTGAATACTTCTATAAACTGCTATACAAATGTATGCTTCAATGACTATTCTTGATGTTGACCAACAATGGCCCTAGCCACTTATGCACCACCAACTATTACTACTGCTGCTGCATTCTACCAAGATATATATTATACTGTACAAACAATAACAATGAATCTAAAGAGCCAGGTGTGGATATTTTGGCTGAGTATTACTCTACCAAGATATATAATAATACAAAGAATAACAATAAAGAGCCAGGTGTGGGTATTTTGGCTGTTGCCAGGGAGAGAATTATGTACAGTATTACAAACTTTCAAGCGGTACAAGATTCGGTGACCGAATCTGCTTCCTTTTCTCAATCTGAGACAAATTTGGCAATTTAGCCCAGACCTATGCAAAATTTGA